GCCCCGGCGACCGTCCCCCCGTCCTCGAATTAGTGTCCGTGTACCACGGTGCGCCCCGTCGCTCCGTGCGTCCTCGTGTCCCGCTGCTCGCGCTCCCGCATCCTCGCTGTCCCCGGGGCCACCCGCAGCGCTGAGCCCAAAGCCCCCCGCCGCGCTGCCGGGGGCCCCCCGCTCTGCCCCCTGCAATAAAGCCAGCGCGGGGCCGAGGGCTGCTGGGCCAGTCCCAGGCTGGGAGCGCTCAGCTGCCCCCCACCCGACGCTGGCCACACGGGTCCCCTGGGCCTGGGAAGGGATCCCTGGGCAAGCGCCCTGGGCTTGTCCCAGGAGCCGCTGCTTGCACCCCAATGTGGGGGCATTCCCTCACCCCGGCCCGGCCCTTGCCACACCGTGCTCCCCCGTCCCCGTGCTTCCTCCACCGCAGCCCCCCGCTGCTCACCAGGGCCCTCCCCGGGAGGCGGCGGGCGGCTCGGGGCCCCCGCAGACATGCTGTGACCATCCTGCTCGAACTAGTCTTTGACAAACTAATAAAATAAAGAGATTTGTACATTGCTCCGGCCTCTTCTCAGCCATTGCTTCCCGGGGGCCCCGCACCAGCTCCCTCGCCCCTCCATCCTCCTCAGGGCTGAGACCTGGCAGCTCATCACACGCCACAGGGCCCACCCTGGGCAGCACCCAAGCCAGCCCACAGGCAAAGGGAGAGGCCACATGTGAATCCCAGGGCCCTGCTCAGCCCAGCTGCCTCCCCACACCCCCGTGTCCACCCTGCAGGCGCCCTCTCCGGGGTTGGGGACAAAAGGGATGGGTGCTGGAGGGCCCCACCCCACAGGCATGGCAGGGGGGCTTCTGCCCCTTCCCTGACTCTGGGACTCCCCTCACAGGGATACCCCTGGGGTACAAGGGCTGTTTCTGGTGGGTCACAGCCTTCTGCCCCCCCCCCCCAAAAGCAGGGGCACAAGGCTACGGGCAGCCCCCGGGCAATAGGGCACCTCGTGCCCCCCAGCGAGGCAGGGCCCCCAGGCTTGGCACAGCCCCGGAGGCCTCCGTCCGGATCCAGCCTCAGCTTCGACCGATTTGCCATCATTTAGCAGCAAAGAGCTCAGCTGTTACCCAGGCGGCATCAGCAGAGCAGTCACCTGGAAAAGCTGCTGTCAGAAAAAAATATTAGGGTAGGAAATGATAGAGATCTTGCAGGGAAGGTCTCCATCGCAGGCAGGCTGCGCCCGCACCTCCTCCGCGGTGACCGTCACCCCTGCCACCCAGCGTGCTGGCAGGGACGAAGCCCACGGCTCTCCCTGGGGAGCAGGAACGGGGAAGCCCCCCGGCAGGGGCGCGGGGAAGGGGCCGGTGGCCGTGGCGTGGGACAGGCGGCGTCTTCTGGGCCCTGCTCCATCCATGCGGGGTGCTGGCGGGCTGGAGCAGGGTTACAGGACTGGGCCAGGTCCCTGCGGGTGTCCCCATCCTCTGCGCAGTGTCCCCGGTGTCACTTGTCCCCAGCGTGGGGACGCAGTGCCCTCTGGTGGGGTGCGAGCGCAGGACAGGAGACAGGAGAGCAGGGACAGGCAGCGGGGACAAGGGGGACAAGGGGGACAGCCCCTGAACACAGAGCCCTCAGCCAGGGCCGTGCCACGGCCAAGGGGAAGGGAGAGGAGCTCGCAGAGCAGCTCAGCCCCCCCCTCCTGCCCCCACAGCAGCC